TAAAACTGTCAAATGCGTTATCATAACATTATCACTGATCAGGAATAAAAGATACGCTTATCTTACACGTAATTAGTATCTTCATTATCAAATATGAAAATTTCTGAGCAAACCTCAAGTGACATAATATCAAAATTATATATCTCATTTCTCGAAGAACGATATATATATATATAGTCATAACACAGTTCAATGTCTAAAAATTAATTTTTGAAATTAAGAAAGAAAAAATAGAAAATTTTTTTTTTCTATCGAATTTAAAAACAATGAATATCAAAAATAAGAAAATATATTCATAAAATTCGAGAAAAAAAAATTAAAACCTAATAGTTTTTTAAGCTTTGATATTATACTAGGAATATATAGAAACGAAACACACCTTTATGATGAAAGCCATGGACCAAAAGTGAAGGTCGTGTGTGTTGTGTTCGTTTGCGAATATTGCCGAGCCTTCAAATAGATATATATATATATATATATGTACCCACGTGCCACAAGAGTCGTGCAGATCGACGACATAGGGAAACCTGAATGTCCTCCACGTGGCTCACGTATATACTATATGTTAATACGCGAGAAAAAAAAAAAAAAAAAAAAAAAAAAAAATGATGACACAAAAAAAATTCAGATCAAATCACGAGATTTTTCTCAGTTCAAGATAATAATTACATTGAATCCTCTCAGTGGCCTTTTCCACTAAACCAGGGTTGGACGTTTAAAAGGTTAATTAAATTAAATTTATTATTATATTCTATTATAAATTATTAATTTTATATAATTATATTATTTTTTTTATTACTATAGATATTATATTTAATAATAAATAAATAAAATAATTAAATAAAAATGATTGATAATTTTTGTGATAAAAAAAATAGAAATTTGTAGGAGGCAAAGCGAGATAAAAAAAAACTCAATTTAATAAAATTAAGAATATAATGAAATAAATATTAATTAAACTATATACGCACTTTTATATAATATGAGCAAATAGAACGTTTTTCCTAAGCGCATTTAATAAATATAAACGAAACAAAATGTGTCACACGACCTATGTGTGGTTTTGCCTTTCTACTGTGCAAGATTTACAGGAAATGTTTCGAGATAATCAAACCGATAATCTATATAAAAGTCTCGCTTGTTGCAAAGTAAGTCCTTATGGCATACAGCTCGACTTTCCGCGTCAAAGCATCGACTCTTATCCTAATAAAAGTCTCTCTATACTATAATATTAATCTGAAACGGAAGCGACAAATTGCTGAGCAATTATTTTTCAAAATGGCAACAATTTTTTATTATTTTTTTTTTTTTGAGGAAGTTATATTCAATTGTATACGTCAAAAATTATTATCTTTTCACACCAATATTCCCTTTTCTCTTTTTTTTTTTAACAAACTAAATTATTTAATTTTTTTTTTTATTCAACGGTTGAAATTTGCAGCTGGTATTAACAATTTACACATGACCTGACCCAACTCTCAGAATTGCAACCCACAATATGTTTTTGCGAATTGGATGACAAAAAAGAAAAAGATGTTTTGCACCTGCCTTTTGGGTAGCCATATTGTGAAAGTTTATCGTTCGTTCGTGAATGATTGACTCGTGTGCCCTAATTGAACATCGAGTTTAAGATAAGAGAAGAAATTCTATTTTTTTTTTTTTTTTTTGGGAAATTAATATTCGAAAGAAGAAATATAAGAAATTTCAAGAATATATATATATTCCAAAGTGAATGTTTGCAATTTCATTTCCATTTAAAATACATTTCAAAATTTACACTGATACTAGTATATAGAGATACATTTGAGAATAAATTAGATTAAACGAAGGAGATCTCTAAAAAGAAGAAAATGAAGAAATAATTCTGGAATGCGTAAATGAAAATAACTTAATATTTTTGCAAATATCATAATTTTTGAAAATTAAATATAAAACAAGATTTTAATAATTACAGTCAGCTAAATAAGACATTTAAATGCAAATATATATTGAAAGAAATCGTAAAATAACATAAAAGCTCATCAATTTTCATCTAATTAACGACACAAGAATTGCGAATTCTTCTTAAAATGTTCAGGTTTTATTATCATCATTTCGATATAAAAGGAAAAAAAGAATTTTTTTTTTTAAACATAAATTGATAATAACAAAAAAAAATATATATATATATAAATAGTAAAGAAGAAATTAATACAAATTTCCGTATCGAAAATTTTTTTATTTAACCTAATTCTTACTAATCAGAAATTTTATATAACTCAATTTTTATTTAGCCTAATTTTTCTTTACGGGAATTTCTATTTAACCGAATTTTTATAACACAAATTTTCTACTTCTTATAATTTCTTATTTAACCAAATTTTCACTAAATCTTCTTCCATTTAACCTAATTTTTAATTTAGCAAAAATTTTATTAATCGTTCTTTATCAGAATTTTTATTTAACAAAATTCTTTATTAAATAAATTCCTAATTAATCAAATTCTAATATAACTAAGTTTTCATTTTTAATTCATATTAAATAGAATTTTCATTTAGCCGAATTTTTATTTAGCAAAATCGTTCTTTATCGGAATTTTTATTTAACCAAATTCTTTATTAAATAAACTCCTAATTAATCAAATTCTAATATAACTAAATTTTCATTTTTAATTCATATTAAATAGAATTTTCATTTAGCCGAATTTTTATTTAGCAAAATTTTTTTTTAATCGTTCTTTATCAGAATTTTTATTTAACCAAATTCTTTATTAAATAAATTCCTAATTAATCAAATTCTAATATAACTAAGTTTTCATTTTTAATTCATATTAAATAGAATTTTTATTTAGCCGAATTTTTATGTAGCAAAAACGTTCTTTATCGGAATTTTTATTTAACCAAATTCTTTATTAAATAAATTTCTAATTAATCAAATTCTAATATAACTAAATTTTCATTTTTAATTCATATTAAATAGAATTTTTATTTAGCCGAGTTTTTTTTAAATCAATTTCAATTTTACTAAATTTCTATATTTAACCGAATTATTAATTAACAATTTTTTCATTTAACCTAATTCTTATTTAGCCGAATTTTGATTCAGTGAAATCTGTTATTTAAAAATTTGACTACAAATTCTTTTAAATTCAGCTAAATGTAATGAAAATAATAAAATTATATTTAATTAAGAATTCGGTTCAATAAAAATTTGATATTAATTAAAATTAATAAGTTTTAGAGAATACGTCTTCTATTAAGAGATCAAAGTCAAAAATGTGTAAATGAACCAAAAATAAAAGAATTGCTTTTAAATCCAGTATTTAAAAAAAATATATATATCCGAAAATTGAGACAGTTTTTTAAAGTATACGTTGTAAAATTAAGAATTAGCGAACATTTTTTTTTTTTTTTCATAATTTTCGTTAGTAAATTATCCAAGATTATGGTTTAAAGTCAGCTTTCTTATATACATATATATATAATATATAAGCAAAAATATATATATAGCACTAAAGAATCTGAGTGGAATGAATGTCTTAAAAAAATTAATATGCTAGGGAAAAATAATGCTTCCTTCAAACTGGCATGGGTGCATATTGATCACCTGTTTTAACATCGTCATGGACGAAAATTACTTTTACATTCTCATCACTTACATTTCGGGCGAAGCGTAAAAATGTATGAGCTCCTAAAAAATTTCCAAGATCTAAATGAAAAAAAAAAAAAAAATCGCCTCGACACGTGCGAACCAAGGTCAAGTTAAATTTGTAAAACTCGAGTATATATTCTATTTTTCACGTCTTTTAAATATAATTGTCCGTGTCTTCTTTTTAATAAGTGAAAATAATTTAAAACTTCGAAAAATTGTCCTTTGAAGTAAATTTTCTTTTTTTTTTTCACAAAAAATTGTTTTCTTTTATTAAAGAGCGGCATTTTTATTATTTCGCATTATAAATCGATTTTTTTTACGATCGTGAATAATAGGTATAAATATAAAAGTGAATTGGTTTCAAAAAATATGAAAATTTCATCAATTTGGTATGAAAAAAAAAATAATAAATACAATGCTCGTTATTTAGATAAATTGAATTTTTCTCTATTCTTTATAAGATTTGGAGCATCATTTTGAATTCGATGCGCTATATATCGTTCACTTTTGAGATTGTTATCCAACCCTTATAAGCACGTGTATTAAAACCGATTACGCGCTGAGCAATTTTCGGTAATCATCATTCGATTGATAAGCATCAAATCTAAACTATCAGATCTTTTTATTTTTATTTTTTTTAATTCCTCAATTCCCAATAATATCAAAAAGCCCAGGTGTTTTGTTCGAAACTTAATTAATTTCCATTTTAAATTAAATTCAGCAAATTGTTTATCTTATCAATATTATTAATTTTGCCAAGAAAAAAAATTCCAACTATGAAGCAAAATAATATTTCATTTTTTTCTTTTTAAAATGAAAATTAATAAAAATTTACTTTTTAATAATTAAAGAAAAAAAAAAAAAAAAAAAAAAAAAAGGGGAAGGAAATTCAAAGCACGTGTCTTAAAATATATGAATCATTTGCAATATATATTCAAATGTTCTGAAATTAGAAAATTAAGCGGTTGGTTACAGTTTTGAATTTTAGTTTAAATTTGAAGACATTCATTTTGCATATTCATTAAACCATCAATCGTTTGGTCAACTCTTGTGTAATTGAAGGAAATGTGCTGTCTGCTTTATCATGCTTAACTGTGTCGAATAATTAATTATTCAAATATTTAAGAACAATGGAGAGTAAAATTAACAACTCGCAAACCAAATTTATCTAAAGCAATACCAATATCCGTTTTCTATTTTTATAAGCCTATTTTCATTTTTTTATTTTCTTTTTTAATTTTTACTTTTTATTTAAATAATATTTTTAATTATTTTAATTATTATTTAATTGAAATATAATTGAATTTTTCTTCTGGCAATTATTAATAATTGTAGAATTGAGAAAAAAAAATAAATAAATTTTCAATTACCTTATCACCTTTCGTCGATTATTTGGATGAAGACATTGCGCCATTTTTGGATCGACTTGTGCCAATTTTTTATGTAGCTCTTCATTTGTTTCAGAAGTGTTCAATCTCGGTTTTTTTGTCTGTTGATCATTGTCACTTGACTCTTCAGGATCATCTATTAAAATCTGCCACAATAATGCTTCAATATAATAGTTGGTACCACCTACAATAATTGGCAATTTTTTTCTGCTCATCAAATTGTCAATCTAAATTGGTTAAGAAATACAATAAAAAAAAACAGTTATTTTCGACAAATCGTTCAATTTATTATTAAATTTTTTTAAAAATAGAATTAATATTTAAAAAAAAGGAATTTTTATTTTTATTTTAATAAATATTCTTTAATTTAGAATACTAATTTAATTAGATGTTATTTATAAAGTTTAAAAAGAAAAAATTCATAATACTATTTTCTTTTAATTAGCACAGGTAATATTCAACTACGATGCAAAGAATCTTTATAGTTGACATCAGCAGTTTCGTTAAAGTAGTGAATTTAAGACCTCGATCGTATTTCATTACACCAAAGATAATAATCATTCGTTGAAGTGATATTCAACACTTAAATATATAAATGCGCGACGTACATAAAGTACACTTTCTATAACGAGTAATTTTTTATTTTTACTTTATTTTTTTTTTTTAAACATTCAAAGACATTTAACATTTCGCAAACAATAAATTAATAAATTAAAGAAAATTAATTTTTCAAAAATACTAATTTTAGAGCAAATTATTTTTAAATATTCAATATAAAAAAATTTATTATATTTTTAAAAATAAGGAAAAAAAAATTGTCATAATTTTACGAAATGTCAAAATTTTGATAACTAACTTTTGTTTCGATTTAATTGAAAATTTCAAGAATTTAATCTCATTGAAATTAATAATTATAACTATGTTAGTGACAAAAATGAAAAAAAATTTAAACGGGTTTTGCCTCAAGGACTTAAATATATATATATATATATGTTTTCGATTTTAAACAGTGAAAGGATACGACAGAAAGAGCTCGATTCCTAAACTCAACGACTGTATAATTGACCAATGGATCCACAATGTCTATCATATGATGTGGTGCTTGTAATCTTTCTTCTCTTGTGACTTTCGCTGTGATGATGTCCAATCCCTTGTACACCTGGGGGCATATAAAATTTATGATTATCAAAATGAAAATCCCATAATTCAGGCTCTCTCCCTCCCTCTCTCTCTCTTTCTTTCTCAAGAAAAAGAGAGATCTCTCTCGCGATTTCCTTATCTCTCTCTCTCTCTCTCTTTCCTCTCTCGCGTGTGCTGTGCAGACATCGTCAGCCATGCGTGCAAATTCTATCTCTTGAACCAGGATTATAAATCGTTTATACATTCACATACTTAATTATCAATAGACTTTCATACTATAAAGTCAAGTCGTTAATTTCTCATTACTTTGTACTCTTTTATTGCTTTAATATTTCAAATTTCATTTAGTTTTTGAATTTAACAGTAATAGAGTATATAAAAAGTTATAAATAAAAAAAAAAAAATAAAATCATTTCTTCTAAATTGAGTTCAAGTTATTTTATAAACAAGAACACATTTCATTATTCTTGGCATGTTGAATATCTTTGTGAATTGCACATTTAAAACCAGAATTATTATTATTATTAAAAATTACAAGAGTTATAAGGACATTAATTTTAATTTTTTATCAGTTTCTTTAAACAGTTTCTATTAATCATTTAATTCAATTTCCTTTATTTTAATTTTATTACTCAATTAACTGTTCTAGCTTTTTTTTTAAAAGCCAATATTTCTTTGGTTTTAAAAAAAAAATTCTTTTTTGTATAAAAAAAATTTTAAATATAAAAAATTTATATATAAAAAATAACTGTAAAGAATAGAACAATAAATTTTTTTTCTATGAAATTAATGTATAAATTGCAATAAAAAAAAATATTGGAGAAAAATTTGGTTTCAAATAAAACAAATTATATATATATATATATATATCAACCTGAGGAAAGTTTCAAAACCCTCTTTCAAATATGAACTGTATCGCAAAACCGGTGTAAACCTGTTTCAACATTCGGAATTCCCTCTCTTTTCCTTTTTGCTCTCGTTATCACTTCGTTAGCGCACTGATGGGGCTTTTCGGGCAGATCGTTTGTAATCTTCTAAATTTTACTTCGAAAAAAGAAAAAAAAAAAAAAAATTGAATTGTCGCCACTTTTTCCTTGAAACATAAATTATTTGACGAAATTTTGTTTTAATTTAACTAATTTTAACATTGGAATTTTAAAATAATCTATACTCGGTGGAAAAAAAATATAAATTACAAATTTTTGAAGCAAATAAATATGATTTCAATTATTATTCAGGGTCTTAAAACGTTAATTAATTTATGATCAATAATAATTAATTATTGATCTATTTTTATTATATTAATATTCTTTTAATATTATTGTTTTTTTTCCATTTAAATATTTAGTAAATTATTTTTGAATACAGAAAGTAATATTTTATAATAAAATTTTGAATTTAAGTTGTAAATAATTTTTTTCTTCATTTAAACGTGTTTCTTTTTTCAATTTCGTCAATAATTCATTTCTAGACCATCGGCAAAAATTTTGGAAAAAATGAGATAAAAATCTTGATGACTTCAACAAAAAAAAAAAAAAATTTAAATAGGAAAACTTCGTTTTCTTTTCTTTTTTTGAAGATAAACATCTTTTCGACGACTTGTATTGTAAACGTTCGATAAAGATTTTTCTAGATTTGTAATATATGATAGGTTTGATTTTCTACTGGGTGTCGTCCTTGTCGTCGTCGTCGTTGTCGGTTTTGCAGTCTTCGACCACTTTTAAAAGCCGCGAGCTTTTTGATGTTGCAGTTGACATTCCTGCCTACTAGTATATATGTAGTTAAGTTGAGAAACTGGTTTTAAAACTGAACCTTTCTCCAAAGATATGAGAGACTTGATACTGAACTGAATGGTCACGCGGTCTTCCTAGACGTTCCGCTTCATTCATCAGCTTTTCTTATATATACATACATAAGAGAGAATGGTTTTACGATCGGAGACGTTTTGTATGAAGTAATGTTTCTTAAACAGCTGATTTCCTCCTTCACATTTTTTTTTTTTTCTATATAAAAATGACAAACTTTAATCCCCTTGTATTTCTTTCATTTTTTTTTTGTTTTCAGTTCTTAATCTTGTTTTGCTACCTTCAAACATCCGTGATTGATAATAATGACACTAAAAATAAAAAATAAAAATAATAATTATTATAATTTTCCAATTAATATTAATATTTTTGATTTTAATTGCAGTAATTATTATTTTCCCCTTATTAATTTTACAAATGTATTTAAAAATAATTTATTATTTTATAAATGTACCAATTCGCGAAGGAATTAAAAATGAAAGATAAAAAAAAGTAGTTTGTAGCAAAATTGATAAATTAGAATGAACATAAATTATATGTTGCTACATTGTCGAAAACATATAATTATTATCAATTTCGAATGATTTGGAAGTTCATTAAAAGACCAGATAAATGAAATAAGATTTATATATTCTTCACTGTACCCAATCATTCTTATCAACAAGTTTAATTTTAGAATATAAGTATATTTTTTATTTCTCTCAAGAAATTTGGTAAAAAAAAAAAAATTCTTTCTAATTAACACTAAAAATGTCCTAATAAGCGAATAATATAAAAAAATCTTCAAATTTCTAAAGCAAATAATTATTATTCCAAAAGAATTTTCTCAAAAAAAAAAGAAAATAAAATTCGGTTAAAAAAACACGAAGTGAAAAATTAAATAAACGACAGTGGAGGAAACAGTCCCAATTTTTTTTCTCTCTATTCATTTTTTCGCAAAGGAGAATTTTTCACAGAAATCAAAAAGAAAATTTTCTTTTTTTTTTACTAATTTCAAATATTTGTAAAATATAAAAATTTGTCGGAAATAAAAAAAAGGATTTTTTACGATATCAAAGAGAGCTACTTCCTGGACTTCAAGGTCATTACAATGAACCGTGTGGCGAGTCTCTCGATGGCAAAAGGGAAGACAAGTAAAGCTAGTAAACTGTATATACCAGACCAGTATTATATAGAGGAAGTGAGAGAAAAAAAGGACAGCAAAATAAACTATATAAAGTGCGATAAAGAAAAGAAAATGTTCTCTTGTACAAGTTCTAACGTGTTTCAAGCATGACGACCGAAGAAGGGGGTTTTGGAGGGAGAAGGGGGGTAAGATGAAGGTCCCCTCGAGAATCTGGTCTACTTGGGGTGACGATCAGAAAAAAGGTCCTTATTCATCTCCATCTTCTTTTATCTACAGGGAGAGCCATTTTATATAAAATGTATCGTCCTTAGATATAATTTACCGTTACTATATATATATATATATATAAACCATGCACAACTTTCATTGATCTGATTGACATGAAAACGCGTGCGGTATTCACATATCGCAGCTGTTTCTCAATCTTCAATGATAAAAAATACACAATTTTGAAATATACGAATTTTTTCCACAAAAAAAAAAAAAATCAAAATAATTTCACGAGTGAAAATTTTTGACTTTTTCAAAAAAAATTCTTTTGATTTTGTAAATTTTTTTTTTTCCAATTTAAAAAAGAATTGTTCACACGAACTTTCGTTTTCTCCGTGCAATTAAAAAATTATCTTTTTCAAATTTTGAAAAAAAAAAAAAATGAAAATATACGAGCGATAACAAAAATGGTAAAAATTAAAATAGTAGATAGAAGAAAAAAATGTTTCAACTTCAAAAGACTTCCAATCAATCAAAAATAATCTAAAATCAACAAAAATGAGGTAACAAAAAGAAAAACATTTTTTCTTAGAGGGGAAAAATTAGTATACACCTTTTTTTTTTGGAAAAAAGATGTCAATCATAGAAAATGAAGTTTAGTCTTTAAAAAAAAGAAGTTGGCGGAGAAGGATTAAAATTTCTATAATCTGAAAATTAATGGTTTCAAAAAAAAATTCCACTTTTTTGAAAATTATCAACGCATCAAAAAAAAAAAGGATATTTTTAATTTAGAAATATAATCTCGATTACTATTTAAGAATATAAATAAACTGAAAAAAAATTTTTATTTGATTCAAATAATCGGTTATTTGACTATTATTATCAAACAAATATTTACTTGAAACAAATAATTTTTATTTGAATTAAATAAATTTTATTTGAATTAAATAAATTTTATTTGGACAAATAATTTCTCTATTTGAATGAAATACTATTTAATTAATTGAAATATAATAATTATTTAATAAAAATAAATATTTATTTAATAATAGTCAAGTAATCGATTATTTGGATCAAATAATTTTTTTCCAGTGTATATAACTACATTTTGATCGTAATATTAAAATAATTTATTTTTAAATTTATTTTTTCATCATACACTTTTGAATTTTTATAATATATAATAATAATAATAATAATTATTATTATAATATAATTATAATAATAATTATTATTATTATATTATTATAATAATAATTATTATTATCCCCCATTTATTTTCTTTTAATCTTTAACAATAATTGTTTATAATATAAAATCCAAATTAGTATATGCTTCATTTAGAAAAAATTAATTTACAATAATTAATTAGAATTAACTTATAATAATTAATTCAAATTAAATAATAGTAATTAATTAGAATTAATTGATAATAGTTGATTACAATTAATTTCTGATAATTAATTAATGTAAAAATAAATTTAAAAAAAAAATCTGATTTCAATAAAAATAATTCTATTGAAAATAAAAAAATTTGATTTAAGAAAAAAATCATGATTTCCATTAGTTCTAATTGAATGGTGAATTTCGAAAAGGGCTCAACTCGAAAAAGCGTGTCATTTTCGCATAACAATCGATAGTGAAAATGACTCTTAGCCTTTTTAGAGTTGAGCCCTTTTCGAAATTCACCATTCAATTAAAAATATCGTTTTTTTTTGGTGAATAAAAAATAAAAATAAATTAATAAAAATAATTAATAAAAATTTTGGTGTAATTAAATTTTGATCAGGACATCAATATATGAGAAGAAAGTAAGTTTAAGGACGCAATCGCGTGAACCTTTTCAAAATTATGTCCTTGATAGTGACATATGTAGCT